CAGAAGGAACACATAATAAACATGTAAAAAAAAAAATCCTTTAAATCAGGAATCATTTGCCTGAAACTCTGAAATTATTTAAAATTTCACAGATGGAAACATAAATCATAAATTAGCACATTTTTATTTTGTTTTTAAAAGAGAATGAACAATTCCCATGGTCATGGAAATCCTGCAACAGTCATGCAAATTGAAAATGTAATTTTCCATATCTGGAAAAGTCATGGAATTCTGTAAATTCAATGAAAGTTTTAGAATAAGTCATGGAATTTTAGTATCTCTTTCACGCAGCTACAGTGTTCTGTTAAGTTCTCATTAGACTATTATGATTATTTGTGAACATCTGCGACTTTTGTTTAAAAGAGACGACAATAAATTAACTGACAGGATTTTGAATGTTAAAAAACTATAATCCCAAACCATAAGGTGAGTGGAAAGAGTTAACAGTTCATATTTAGCCCTAAAAGTCTGATCAATTCTACACATGTAGGTGCTGTAAAGTCATGGAAAATTCACTTTAGGTTATAAAAAAGCCATGGAAATTTTGTCAGTGAAAAAGAGTGGGAACAGTAAGTGTTTGAACTAAAATTCTTTATTAGTATTGTAAAAAATAATCAAACAGACTCTGGGCTTTCTCTGTCCCCTGATGTCACTGTCACAGACTTTGGTTTAAATCCAGGCTCAAGACTTGGACTTAAGGGGGTTCACACCAGAGCATCAAAGCATCGAGTTTCTATCTCAAGTCTACGTGGACGTGTGTCTAGGGCGTCTTCGGGCGTCAGCGCAGCGCGAATCTGGCGTAAAGTTGAAAATGCTGAACTTTTCGCATCAGATGCGCCGCGTCAACCAATCGGGGACGAGTATCCAGAGCGACGTTATGATCAGGAAGAAAGAGAAAGACCCGAGAACCACAGCGAGAGCCACAAACATGAGCGGAGCATAAATATATACACCACAATCAAAGAGCGGATCACGAGAATTACACCAGAACTAGACCAGGACTAAACCAGGCCTAGACCAGGACTAAACCAGAACTAGACCAGGACTAAACCAGGACTGGACCAGTGTCATTAGTGGAGTATAAATATATTTACGCCACAGTTGTCGACCTGATCTCCTTCTCTGATGGTTTCATGTAATAAAAACACTAAAGTCTCTCAGTCTGGTCTGACATCGTTTCGGGAAAAGAACGAGACCGGGTGCTTTTTTTCCAGGGCAACGGATGCGCGTCAAATATTTTTCTTCCGTTCGTCCACAGCGGCAAAGATGCGCAACGGGGCGTCTGAACTCAAATGCAAAGACATCCAAATAAAGGCGTCTAGGGAGTTTTTTGATGCTCTGGTGTGAACGACTCTTTAGACTTAGACAAACTTTATTGGTTCACAAGGAGCAATTATTTGGACACAGGAGCTCACACATCACAATATAATATAATAAAGTGCAAATATATAAATGGTAATAATAAAACGTGTCTATTGAGACTGGATTTAACACAATTCAACATTTGGTTTTGACAGGTTCTGCTGAAGTCACGGACAAACGAAGCAAAGACGTGAACGAGGTGAGGAGAAGTTATTGGATATTTAAATTTAAAGTTCGCACTATGTCACTTTTCTAGAGGACCTTCTTGTCTCTATGGAGATGTTATTGCTTTGCCTGGAATTTCCCACAGTGCGGCATTGAACTCACATCTTCATGGAGATGAGCAGAAGACGAGCAACATGTGATTTAATAAATGCAGATACACATGTTTAATGTCAGACTGTGGAGGATTCTGGGGTCGTGGACTCAACTAGAAAAGTTACAGAGTGCATCTTTAAGTAGTGAGAAAAAGTAAATGTTGTGATTGTTTTGTGTTTCAGAGCGACACATATCACCTGTACTGCACCATCCAGGATGAACCCAGCTCAGGATCAGTGGAGAACATTCTCTACAGCTCTGTGAACCTGCTCCCACTCAACACTGATGCAGCTCTTTGACCAACAGGAAGGACTCAGATTTTTATTTCGTTTTTCTATTGTTTTATATTTGTGTTACATAAAGAATGCACAAGTCACAACAGAAGTGACACAGAGTCGACAAAGAAATACAACTTACACATTAGACTGCAGGAAATAAGCAATTGTTTGTAGTCAGAATCTATGTTTGTGCTCAGAACCACAGAATTCCCTCCCTGAGCTGCAGAGGCTGCACTAACACTGGTTCAGGATTGACTGTAGGTGCAGGTTTAGGTAGAGACTGTTCAGATCAGAGAAAAACATTTTAGGTTTAAACCAGGGGTGTCAAACATACGGCCCGGGGGCCAGATCCGGCCCTCTAAGACCTTTAATCTGGCCCTCGGCTGATTTTCTACTAAAATATTTTAATTATATTTTCTATTAAAATATTGTTAATTTTCTGTGGTGTGCACAGCGTCTACACAGCGTCTCTGTGTCCCCTCCAGCACAAATGAAGACTTGTCTCTTTCCAAACGCTCTTTGACGATTCGTTTTGACTGTTGACCGTGACCGTGACCCTCATCAGAAAAATGTCCAACATGAGAAAAGTGAGAAAGCCGAGTGCAGGATTTTACAACAAAAATTTACTTATTCCTGTTTACAACAAGTTCAATGTTAATGTTAAAACATTGTGTTGAAATTGTATTTTTTTTTAAAGTTTCAGGTTGTTCATAATATGTTAATATTTTTGTAAAAGAAAGAGTTCATCAGTTTAAAAAGACTTCTGTAATAGATTTGTGATTCTCTGCACAAATATTTGAACTTATCAAAGTAGGTTGGATATGGCCCCCAGACCAAAATTAGTTTGACACCTCTGGTCTAAACCAACTGGATTTGAGCATTGAACCAACAACCCAAATGAAAAACTCATGAGGCTCATTCTGCTTTCTGATTGGAGAATTGTCTTGAAAATCAAAAACTTGCATGTCCAACACAGAATAAACAGCAACTCAGAATAAATCAGAACTACAATAGTTTTCAGCCAGAGTTATATTTGATCTGAAAACACTGGTCTCATATCTGGAGACACAGAGTTTTACTTTTATTATTATTAATATTTTGAATACATTTTATATATTTCATGCAAAAATTGAGTTTAAAATAATTACATTTCAGGTTTTTATTTATTTTTTAACAAGCACATAACAGGCTACAGCAAGAGTCCATGTTCCACTGATTATGACCAATGAATGTAAAGTGTAATGTAAATATGCATCTGTATTATATTTGTACGAATGAAGAAATAGAAACAATAAAGTTTTTATATATATTATATTGACTCTTGTACTTAAAATGTGCACTAAATGTATTTTGTAATGTAATTTACTCAAACATATAAGTTCAGATGAAGTCAGTTCATGCTGTGAGAAGAGACTCGTGTCCTCAGCAGGTTTGGTTTTGGTCTGAGTCATTGGTTGAGGTGTGAAGTGTCTCTAAATAAGTTTGTCACAAAACTTTGAACAGGATGGTTTCAGATGCCCTCTGCACTTGTATTTGTGTTTGTATTAGTTGTTGTGTGGAAAGTTTCATGTTTTAGGGTTGGGGTTGTGGTTTCTTTTTGTACTTATGTTACTTCAGAAAATGGGATACATCGTATTTTTGACGCTCTGCGTGAGCGTAGGCGCGTATCCCCATCAAAATACACAGAGAGCATGGATCTGTTGTTGTATTTGTGCATTTACCATCAGCACAACATGCTCCTGGGGCAGATCTGTGTCATGTGAAAAAGCCCAGGTCCAGAACGACTGTTAATTAGTGCTTTGAAATTTATTTTTGAAATCTTCATGTTTGCCCTGGTCAGCCTGTACAGAAGGTAAATACAAGTCTGTTCAGGTGTTAGTTTAATTGTGGACCTGATACAAGCGGCTAAACGCTCCCAGTCAAGTCTGATCAGCTTTTCCATTGAGAAACCCAGAGTCAGTGCTGCGCGTGTACATCTGCTGCAGCTGTTGGTGAAGTTGCCTTTGCGTTGACGCGCGGCTGTGGTTTCTTGAGGTTACGCACATAAACACTGACGCAGGCAGTGGAGCCAGGCCTTAAAAAGTGTGAGCAGACTTTGTCACTCGACTCATCAGGTGAAAACAGATACCGACGTTGAACTGAACCCCAACAGTGACGTACATCGTTCATCTCACATAATTTGAACAAATTCACGTTCAAGTTCTTGATTTACAAATGTGTTGCATTTAATTAATTAATTAATTTGGAGGTAATCAAATGAGTGAATTCAAACTCTACTATTTCTTGAGAAGAAACAACTTTGTAACTTGACCTAAATCTAAAAATGTGAACCAGTTGAATAGGAGCGTCACCTCACATGACTGTACAAAATCAGAGCACACTGGTTTTGACCAGTGGATCAGTGAGTCTGTCTTGTATCAAACAGAGGTCTCCATCTGGCTCCTGGTGACGCTGACGTCCTTTGGTCTCGTGGTGGGAAGTGTCCTGACAGTTCTGTGTTTTTTCTGCTCAAAATGGATTAAAGGTGAAATATTGTGTCACTGTCCACTGTTCCAAGCTTCTTCTACACCCTGATCTGATGCTGATGATTTCTTTCTTTAGGCAAACGTGTCATCAGAGGGTAAGTTCTGTTCAGGAGCCAAATGAAAGAATGATCTGTAGAATGTGTTATATCCACATTTAAATACTTTTCTTAATATCTGTTGTCTGTTTTCCCTCACAGCTCACCAGGCAGTAACCCAGGTTAAGATAACACTGTGTACTATGTTTAATATTTCCTTTTGGATCAGATTCATTTAAACGTATCAGTTTTCAACAGATTTGAGGACAATGGACAAAGTGGAGATCCAAGCTGAAGATGAGTATGATGAAGTGGAGGAAACAGGAACATACATGCCTTTGGTATGTTCTCCTGAACACCTACAAAACTATTAGATAAGATTCTTAGGAAAATGTTGGATTTAATTATGATTTAGGGAAACAGTAGGCAATCCTTTATTTACTTAAGCTTTATATATTTGTATTTTTTAACAATCGTCTGTATCACTCTTTAACTAATGTCTGTTTTTTCTGTTTGTTTTGTTTTTTATTTGATTTTAGAACAGAACAGCTGACGTCTATGCCACTATTCATGATCAGCCACCTGCAACCCCAATGGAGAACATCAACCTGAGCTCTGAATGAAAAGGTGTTGTAATTTATACCACTTATATTTACAAAGTACCTTTAAAATGTGTATGGTATAAGGTCAACTGTTACATTTTATTAATATTACAAGAATCTATATGAGTGAAAATAAATGATGTGTAACTTTCTTGCGGATGGGATTTTAAAAGAAAGTTAAACTTTCATCTCTTTTTGTAATATATTGATGTGATGATGAAGAATGATGAACCCATGTGTCAGATTCACAAATATTTATATTCTGTAAAGCTGCTCTGAGGTTCTTCTATTGGCAGTTGTACATTGCAACTTGGGGGAGTTAGTTTCTCTGTTGTGACTAAGGCTACGTTCAGACTGCAGGGCTTAACGCTCAATTCAGATTTTTTTGTGAAATCCGATGTTTTTTTGAGGTCGTTCACATTTCCAATTAAATGTGACTTGTATGTGACTCCAGTGTGAACATTAAATGGCCCAAAAGTGTCCCACATGTGCACTGGAGTCAAGATGACGTCGACCGCAGCGAGCGTCTCTGTGTTTATGGAAGTTGTCTAAACATGGATGTGAGCATTGAGCACCTGGAGATTTTAAAGTTCCTCTCGTACCGGAGCCAGAACATGAACAACTTACTTGTATTAAGGAGGAGATTGAGAAGGAGAAGGACGAGGTTTTTGGTCGTGGTGTTTTGTGGGTCAGTGGAAGCGACGTCCGTTGAAAGGAACATGTGGATGTGGAGACGGAGCCAAGAGTGGTGAGTAGCGATGTTCTTCGCTTCAGTGACACAGAGTTCATTAACAATTTTCATATGACAAGAAGAACGTTTGTGTACATTTGTGTATTGTTGATGACGTGTAGGTCGGATGAATACGCTTTGGCCGTTCAGACTTAAGTTGCATTTCAAAAGATCAGATATGTATCAGTTTCAGGAGCACATATCCAAGTGGCCTGGGTCACATTTGAAAAAATCGGATCTGTGTCGTTCAGACTGTCATTAAAAGATCAGATACAGGTCACATCGAGGCCAAAAAATCAGATTTGGGTCACTTCAGGCTGCAGTCTGAACGTAGCCTAAAACAAGCTGCAACAAAGAGGGTAGAACAAGGAGCAAACGTTTTCACAAAGGTTTATTAAATAAAGTTAAAGTAAAGGTGTAGGTCATGGGTTTTGTGCTTGGTTGTGTAAATGAGTCAAACAAAAGCTACAGGAGGCAGCTGGTGGTCTGGGCAGGAGAGGAGCCAAGCAGAAAGTGAGCACCAGGCTCTAATTTAGTGTGAAGCCAGACGAGGGCCTGAGTGAGCGACGCCCTCATCTCGCTGGGCAGACAGGAAACAACAAAGAACAATACAGGGTTCAACAATAAAGAGATGCTCTTCGCTGTCGCTGTTGTAATTGTTGTCAGTGATATCCAGTGGCAGCCGGTGGTATAAGTTTTTTTTTTTTTTTTAGTATCATTATGAATGCCAGAAACATTTTTTTGGTCACTATTGGCTGAAGAGTAAGATAAGTAAGATGCAGTGCAGAGTTGGGGCTGGACACTGAATTAGTGTGGGGGAGTAACAGATTACATGTACCGGAGTTACGTAATCAGAGTACAAATTATGAGTAACTGTATTCGGTTACAGTTACTGTTTCAATGAGTGGTAATTGATTACAGTTATTTTGTTGGAATAAATGGATTACATGTGGTATTTTCCTGGTTTCAGATTTTGAGCTATATCTTACACCTTTTTTTATCTCTCCCCTGGTAATTCCACTCATTCCCGGAAACTAAACCAGGTCTAAACTAGATCTCAACCAGGTCTAAACCAGGTCTAAAACCATGACTAAAACCAGGTCTAAACCAGGTCCAAAACCATGACTAAAACCAGGTCTAAACCAGGTCTAAAACCAGGATTAAAAACAGGTCTAAACTAGATCTAAACGAGATCTAAACCAGGACTAAAACAGGACTAAAACCAGCACTAAACCAGGACTAAAACAGGACTAAAACAGGACTAAGCCAGGACTAAAACAGGACTAAAAGCAGGTCTAAACTAGATCTAAATGAGATTTAAACCAGGTCTAAAACCAGGACTAAAACAGGACTAAAAGCTGGTCTAAACTAGATCTAAATGAGATCTAAACCAGGTCTAAACCAGGTCTAAAACTGGTCTAAAACCATGACTAAACCAGGTCTAAACCAGGACTAAAACAGGATTTAACAGGACTAAATCCTGCTGCATGGACGTGTCTCCTCCTCTTCTATCAATAATATTTTTTATATGGTAAAGTCTGGGCTTTTTTTTTTCTTTGAACAGACAAAACATTTTATGTGAAGATTTCCTCGTCTTTGCTTCTCTAAAGCAAATCAAGTAATCCAAAGTATTCAGATTACATTACTCACTTTAAATAATTTAAAGGATTATGTTACAAACTACATTTTGGGGTATGTAATCTGTAATCTGTAGGGGAATACATTTTAAAAGTCACCTTCCCAACACTGATCACAACAGGCCAGAAGTGTGTGATGATGTTTATTCAGACCAGTCACTTGATTTCTGGTCGCCCCCAAGACGTATTTCAGGGCTGTAATGTAAAGTCATGGGCAGAAACAACATCATGTCCTCAAATTTTTTCAAAACTTTCAACTTCCTAGGCTCTTTCATAGATCTCCATTAAGTCTCAGCACACTCAAATTGACTCAAATAAAGCAATATGAGCACATTTAACATGATAAAAATATGTCTATGCAGATACACGTTCAATAAAAAAAACAAAAAACATATAGCCTAATACAAAATAAGGACTTTAATGTATTTATTTTTATTTTTTTACCTAGGTCAAGTTAGGGAGTGCCGCCACTGGGGACATCCATCTGCAGCTCCCTGTCCACAGCCTGATCTGTCGGGATCTATTGATGTCAGCACGACTCAGTAAAAGCCTCATAGAGATGTGATGTAATTACAGTGGAAATGGTCGTGCAGACTGTTCCTTTAACTAGAACTAACTGTGTAAAGTATTGATGTGATTCCTAATAAAGCTTGACTGAACACACTGCACATTTTAAGCTCTGGCGTGCCCCTTTCTCTCTTTTTTAAATAGATAATTATGCTGTCGTTTTGTTTAATTTAGTTTGTAATACACAGCATTAGGTTTGGTTTGTCAGCGCGCAAAATCAGATGGAGGGCAGCAAGTGAACTGACTGGAGGAAGCTGTTGCGTCTTTGTCTGGAAAATACCAATGTGTTGTGTAGTTTACAGCTGTGCCAATTGTTCTAACCGAGAGAGGGAAAAGCGATTTTTTAGAGTCGTCGAAGATAGTCGTCCACAATCCGTGTATCATTCGTTCATTCGTTTTTCAATATAAAACCAAAACAAAGAAAACGAAAAAAACACCTGTTTTCTTCATTATTTGTCTCCAAAACCAAAATGAAAAAACAGATAACGATTTTTTTTTTTTTTTGTTTTAAATTTTGTGTTTCAATGAAAAATGGAAAAAACGGATAACGGCCGTTTCCCGTTTACGTGACCTCCGTGACTGCGATGCCGAACTTTTGCACGCTGCATACGGACTGAACCAGGACTGATCCAGGTCCGGGATCAGACCGGGACTGAGACCAGAACTGAAACTGGACCAGACCAGACCGAGACCGGGACCAGAGCGGGACTGAGACAAAGACCAGACCGGGGCTGAGACCGAGACCAGGCAGGGACCAGACCAGGACCAGACCGAGACTGAGACCAGGCCAGGACCAGACCGGGACCACACCCGGAGATAAATTGTTTTTTGTGGTTTATCTAAACATAAACGAATCATTAACATAACGGCTAACGACGTTTGTTGACATTAAATTGTTAGGACAGATCAGTTACTGCCGATACACTGCAGTTTTTTCCAGTCGGTCTGTACACATAAAATAAGAGAAACACTCACCCTGGTGAAGAGCAAACGACAATCATCACGTAGGCGTTTTGCACCAAGGTTGTGGAACCATCCACTGATAAAAAAGTAAAAAGTTATATGCCTCCAAACTTTTGTACACCTTCATCTGTTGTCTGGTGTAGAACGATGTCTGGAGAACTAGATAGTTTCGTGATATCCTCTGCCTCGATTGTCAGCAAATCTTTTACTTTGGTCGAAAACTCCCTCATTTTCATCAGATGGGGTCACGTCCAATATATTTGTCAACTAACTGCTCGTACCTTTGCCTTGTTACTGGCTCTAAATCCTTACAATAAGAACTCTTCTCCATATCTGTGTTCTCCAGAGCCGTGTTTGTCGTGTTTGTCTTCAATTCCTGCCCTTTACCTGAAATTCATGTGTCATCGTGATCACGTGACTGAAACCCTCCTATTGACGTTGAATATATTTCATTCAAAATTTTAGAACAAATCAAGTTAAAATAATGTTTTGGGGTTTTTTTGTGACGCAAGTAGACTTCTGCAAGAGACCGTGTTCCCCGATTAAGACCAATGATTATTTGCAGTTACATTATTGTAAATGTGAATCTCTGTATTATATTTGTATGAATGAAGAAATATAACAGTCAAGTTTTTTAATTAAATCATATTGAGTTTTGTGTATTTAAAAGGTGCACTCAAATGTATTTTATTGTCATTTACTCACCCTATGCATTTATATTTCTGATTGCACTATTTGCTGCATGAGAAGTTTCTTGTTTTACTGTGGTTTTTTAGCTCTTATGGTAAAAGCAGAACTGTCTGTGTGAGTCTGAACTCAACCGCTGTTCATCATGGCTGATTTTTCAGAGGGCTTTGGTCCAACATGACACAGCGCCTCAATTTTATGTTTTATGTCTATCATTCCACACACATCTCTCAAATGGTACAATTTAATATTAAAGAATCTACTAAAAACAAAAACAAAATATACCAATATTGCTCTGTCCAGCCAAGGCAAACCACACTGACAACAGATAATGGAGTTCTGTTCTGGAGACACAGATTCCTTCCTGGCTTCCTGGTGGGTAGAGAGGGGAGAGGGTAGAGGGTCCAGGAGAGGTCCTCACTGATGTGCCCCCCAGGAGTTTAG